TGTAATATATTTTTAAATTTTTAATATAAATTATAAAAACTAAACAGCTGTATTTTTACAGTCTGTATTTTACAGTTAAAATACATGTTTATCAAATAAAGTTTGATGCCACAACTTATCAGGGATCCCTTTAAAACTGTACTTTTGAGGTTAAACAAATGTTCTTGATTAATTTCAATAAGTTACAAGTTTAGAAGGGCATGGACATTTCTCTTTTTTGTATTGAAAAAGTTTTGAACCACGAGATTTGTATTGTATTGAACCGAATCATGATTATTTTTGTATCGATGCACCCCTAGTATTAATGTTTTTTTGCCATGGACCAACACTCATTTTGGCTGTTTTTTTGTTTTTTTTTTTTTTTTTCAAAAAAATACAATTTTTAATTAGGAGTACCCAATGTTAAAAAAGTTGTGCAGATTTTTTTTTTTTTTTGCTTCATAGCATTACCACATTATTCTTAAATATCAATCATATCACCTCTCCAGCTGGTGTCATTCTGTTCCATATTAAAGAAATGTCACGTTTCCCCTAAAGGTTTTATTAGCCTCTTGTTTTAATCGTGTATCTGTGTCCTGAGTTATTTTTTACTTAGACTTGGGATTTGATATAAAGGAAGTAAGATAAATCAAAAATAGCTTAACCAGTGATTAGGTTGTAATCTGTGTCATTATGCTCTCGAATAGAACACTTTATAAAAGTCACATGACATTTCATAGCAATCAGAGTTTTCTTTTTTAAAACTAGAAGTGATTTTTTTTTTTTTTCAGATTTATCAACCATCTTGTATTTTAATGAACGGGTTAATGGAACATAATTGCATGACTCGAGAGCTCTTTTTGAATAAAAGCTGGATCAACTCTTTATGTGTCATTGTCTTCAGCTTGCTAAATGAAAGACCACCCTATTGTTAAATTACCATTATTAAATCAATGTTWGTAGGCGCGGCAGTAACGCTGTGCTGCTGCCGAATATTTATCAACGACAGAAACTGAGCTAATGATAATTATAAATCGGTATAGATTTAATAAGTGAAGATTAGGACCACCAACTGCATCACCGGCAGTGTATTAATCATGCATTAATGCTGCCTGTGTGAGATTTAGGCTCAGATGTGTTTATTTCTTTGAGTGGAGAAMTAAATTCAGTGGATCTCCCAGCTGTAAAGTTATCCTCAACACATCAGAAAATCCACTAAGAAGTAGCTTGAAAGAAAGAGCTGGTGGGTTACAGAACGGCACAGTCAAAGCTGCGATATGAATAACACTGAAGTGCTGCAGGGGCGATCAAATCTTCTGTTGCATGTTAAAATAAAAAGTATCCCTGAAATGTCTCAAAATGAAAGAAACTGCACAAAAGACYGCAGATAGATGACCGTGTCACAGACCGGTGAACAATTTATGCAGAACGCCTACACGGACTTACTTCTGCTAAAAGGGACAAAACAAACTGTATTTTCCTTGAGAAAACTGTTCCATACAGCAGAGTGCTTTGAGCCGACTGTGTTTGACTTTACTCTGTTCCTCAGGGACGACGCTTATCAGCAGAGACTCGCTGTGCTTTAATGTGATCATTTTTTTTTATTTTCCATTTTAGCCCGTTATGAAAATATGAAGGTTTAGCCAATACAATACCTTCAAGTCTTAACTGCGCATGAAAACATTTTAGTTTTCCTGTTTATAGTTTCTTTTGCACATTTTTACTAACCATTCTTTGTTAAAACCTTAAACTCAATCAGAAGTAGTGTGCAGAGTTTTGATTTTTGTAGATTTTAATACTTTTTAAATCTCTCCAGTTCATTTAAAAACATTTTTAGCTTTGAAATTTGTTTCAGTATTGTTCAGTCTTTATTTTCATGTGCTACTTTTTGCTTTGAGCTACCATTTTGCCACATTTAGTTGCCATTTTGCTCATTTTATCTACTGTTCTGCTACTTTAACCACTTTTCAGCCATGTTGCTTTTAGCTTTTGGATACTATCCTGCATTTTAAAGCATTTAGCTACAGTTTTGATGATTTTAGCTTCAGCATTTGTTTTACTACATTCAAGTTTTACAAATATTAGCATGTCTTCTTTCAGCTATTGATTTGCTCATTTTAGCACTGTTTTTGTGATTTTAGTTTCAGTGTTATTACTTTTAGCTTTTAGCCTTTGTTCTTGTGCCTTTAGCTACTGATTTGCTGCTTTTAGTGTTCTGCTTTTAGCTACTATCCTGCATTTCATAACATTTGATGATTTTAGCTTTAGCATCTGTTCTACCAGTTTCAACTGGAGTTTTACAAATATTAGCATTTGTCTTGCTTTGTTCAGGTGTTGATTTGCTCATTGTAGCACTCATTTTTATTATTTTAGCTACTGTTTTATTCCTTTTAGCTTTTCGAATCTGTTCTGGTGCTTTTAAGCTTTTGCATTTCTGGTGCCTTTAGCTACTGAGTTGCTGCTTTTAGCTACTATCGTCTATTTCATAGCGTTAAGCTACAGTTTTAATGATTTTAGCTTTAGCATCTGTTTTACTACTTTAATCTACAGCTTTACAAATATTTGCATTTGTCTTGTTTATTTCAGATATTGATTTGCTCATTGTAGCACCTATTTTAGCTACTGTTTTATTCCTTTTAGCTTTCAGCATCTTTTCTGTTGCTTTTAGCTTATGATCTGTTCATTTCAGCCTCTGTTCTATTTGTTTTAACTTTACAAACTCAGTTCTAGTTTCTTTAGCTAAACAGTTAGCACTTAACGTTTTCACAGACTAAAACATTTCTTCTTTGACTTTAGACATTAACAGCCATGTTTTTGTTTTTTGTGTTTGTTTTTGAGGGTTTTGTTTTGTTTTGTTTTCTTCTTATGAAGCTGTCGAGGCAGAATGACACGAGGAGCTTGGTGTTTGAAATCACAGCAGCACTTTATTCAGTCGATGGGAATTGTTCCTTGCTAACTGTAAGCAGTAATTATGACACTATGTGTAAAGCAATCAGAGAGGGGGGGCATGCTTCACATATGAAGACTAATTGTTTCTTAGCTCCAGATAGAAGGATTGCAACATTACCTTAAAAGTYTCGGCTGATTACAGAAGAGCAGGAGAAGAAAATGATGATTAGAAATGGAAAATGGAAAACGTTTTGTAAAGTCAGCCATCAGACAACAAAGTAATCAAACACAAAAGACCAAAAAAAAAAGCCTTTGTTGTGTTCCACAGTCTTTCTGCAGTCCTACTTATTAAACCTCTTCCTTCACTTACTCTACCTGACCTGAATGCATTCATGATGCATGTTCAAAGTTCCTCCAAACATGAAGTCCATTGTATGTATGTGTGTGTGTGTGTGTGTGTGTGTGTGTGTGTGTGTGTGTGTG